GGGTCGCCTCGGGGAGCTTCTGCTCCACCAGATGCTGGACCTGCGCCGACATGGCTGCCACTTCTCTCTCCAACTCCTCTTCTAACCTTTTCCCAGGTTAGAAGAGGAGTTGGAGGAAATAATAAGACAGAAACGTTGAAAATATCAGACGTTATTGGCATTTTGTATGATATAAAGCGCAGTATTATGGGTTTTCCAGACCAATATAGCATAATCAAGTCATGTTAACTTTATTCGTTACATATCAAATCCACTGCAAAAACACAAAACCTTACAAGTTATATGTGTTTCTTGCTCCAGTGTTTTATATACTTGAAGTAAGACGAAGCTAATTCACAGGTAACTTTTCAGCAAGGAACAGGAGTTTGTTTGAACTCAATAATTTCTTAAATTTGGGAAAGAAGTCCTGGTTCCACTGGCAGATTGTTTCACTTACAAGACAGGTTAACTTGTGATAAGTGAACCAGTGGATCTAGGACTTTTTCATCAATATTAAGGAATTATTTACTTAAAACAAACTTCCAGTTTTGGCAGGAAAGTCAGTTTTGTCTTATTTCAACTGTACCAAGATATTTGCATTATAAGGTAGATCAAAAATACTTAATAAGATTTAGTATTTTTGCAATGGCTTTAAATTGGGAAACTTTACGTCCCAATTCAAAACCTTGAAATTGCTGTAAATTGGCTCCTCAGTTAAGCCTGTGATCAGGTTTTGCCAGCGTTGCTCTTAGAAGTCGCTCCTTTAATGAGCGCAGCAGGTGTTTGCTAATTGTTGCTGACTAGTCTGAAGGAGGAGCTACGCCTCAAAGGCAGCGCTCGGTCCAGCCAGGCGTTTTGCACAGCTGAATTGCTGCCATGATGATTTCAGGATTTTTCAAACATGAAAGGATAAAACCTCTAAAAGCAGTTAAAAGTGTGGATGTGAAAACATTTGCAAAGTGCTGTAGTTTAAACTGATCAAGGGAGAACAAATGACAGGATTTTATCTTTTTAAGTGTTTCAGGAACAGCGGCGTGTGATTTGCAGCATCTTAACCTCCTCTTCTCCAGCTGCGACTTCATCTCCAGGTTGCGGATCTCGTCTTTGTGTTCTTCTTTCTGACGTTGGAGCTGCTTCTCCAGATTCTCCATGTCGGCCATCAACCCGTCCTTCTGCCTCTGAAACTCTTCCAGGTCACAAAGTTTCTCCGCTGGCAGGAAAGGAGGAGAGAAAGTTAGCAGAGTTTTAGATCTGACATTAATATTTGTTTTGGTCCCGAAAAAATTCTAGACTGATTATTGGAGACAAAGTGGCTGATCCACCAGGGCAGCTCTACTCAGTCTACTTCTGTCCCTTATTTATATTATGTGTAGAATTCCTGACTTTACTTTCTGAACCATTTGAAAAGAGGTTTATTTTATGTAATCAAGCTATTATTTTTGCTGTTGAACTCCTCTTTGCTCCAACTGAACAAATTAAAGATGTTTTTAGATGTTTGACCAAACTTTGGCGTATTTAAGTGTGCTGTACTGGTGCAGAGTTATAAATCAATGTGTAATTCAGTATATTTATGTTTGTGTTTGGAAAAAAAAAGGCAGTTCAGTTCAAATCCCAGATATGTGAAGTGAATCATACCTAGCATTGGGTCACAGTTTGTATTTTTCTGATTAGTTAATTGCAATAATTTATTGCTATTTTTTAGGTAACTGTGTGGTTTTGACTGTGTGTCACAGCAATTATAGTCCCACAAGTACAAATACTGCTCTTACAAAACGTTCCCATTCACATAAAGAAATGTAAATTGCGTCACTAAACAGCAGACAGTAACAGCATTTTATCATGTTTTAATTATATTTTCAAATGTATTGATATTTATTGATGTGTTAACAGTCCCGCCATGTGGACAGTTTGGTGAGCTTTTAACATCATCAGTTGGAATTTTGTGTGATAAATCAAAATTCTTGACATAACGAAGTTTGTTGTGATAAATGATAAATAATAAGTGATAAATTCTGGTAAACTGAACTGCTGTTCAGACTTTGGTTTCATGGCTTATTTTATTCATCTATTTTTGTCTCTTTGCTTTGATTAATTGATCTTGGATTGAAAAAACTCAGTGTTTATGTAAGATGCAGAAGTTTGCAGCCTTTTCTTGCAGCGTTTGTCTGATTCTGTGCAAATGTTGATCCAAACCTCACAACAAAAGCCATATAAAAGCTGCTTTTCTTAAAGATTTTATTTTTTAAAAACTGCTCGTTTCTGCACAACATAAGAACTGACCTTCACAAAATGAAACTTCGCTACATTTTCCCAGATTAATCGGAACAGAACAGAACGTGACCCTGAATTATCTCAGACACGGAGGGAAAATTATCAGAGAGAGGACGGATTCTGCCAACGCCACCATGGCATTCTTGCAGATTCCCACAGGGAGTGAAAAGTCTCACCGAGTGCCACGTTTTTTTCCTCCAGCTTATCGATTCGGGCCTGCAGCTCCTGCCTCAGCTGGCCCTGCTCCAGCAGCAGGGAACGCTTTTCCTGGACAGAGGAGTGACGCTCTTCCTCGAGCTGCTCACGCAGCTCGGCCAGCTCCCCCTCCTTCTCTGAAAGGGAGTGCTTCAGGTATGCTGTGATGTCCTTCTTGTCCACGCACTGGGAGATTAGGATGTTGTTCTGCTTCTGAAGTTCATGACATTTGATCTGAAACCTGACAAAACAAGTTAAAACCCACTAAGAGACTGCTTTGTTTTAAAATGCTCCTGCCCATTTTACGAGGTTTTGCTCTTTTTTTTCCTCAGCTCACAGAAATCATTGGAGGAGAAACCAGCCGACAGCATCACCGGCTCCATTCTCACTGCAGACTGGACTGGCACAAAACCAATTTGATTGCCACTCAATCTGATAACACAGACTGGATTTTTACAAATGTGACCCAGTCCACTTTCGGTGCATTTATAGTTTAATTTCATTTATAGAATAGATTAGAATAGACTTCACTATCTCTACTCCATCCAAGGTCTTACATGTCAATAGTACAAATACAATCACAAGCTATAAAATGTAGAAAATGTATTTACCTTAGAGTGATGTAAGTAATTTAAAACAAGTAAATAGAATAACAAGATTTTTGAAAACAAATTTGAATAAATGTCAAAGCCTTGAAATTATATTTCCTCAGGGACTGAGAATAATTGTAAAATTTGTAGATTTTGTTACAAATCATTTTGTAATTTTCTCCCCATTCATTAAATATACTTTGAAACAGAAATGAAAGATTTTTTCCTTAAACCTTTTACAGATTTTTCTCTTCAGATTATATTAAAATAATGATGTAAGCCACTAAACTTAATGATTGACTGAACAGCTTTGAACTGGTTTAGACACAAGAACTCCAAATTATAGTGTAAAAGTTGTTTTGCATGTATATTAAGTCAACTGTCCTCCTAAATAAACCAAATTCAAACTGACATTAACATTCAGACGCATAAAGCGCCTGGACTTGTTGCTAGCAGGATCCAGCTTCACCTTCCAGTTTAAACAGCAGCGTCTTTTTCTGGTCTTACCTCTCCAGCTCCTCGTTCAAACATCCGATTTGAATCAGATATAACCTCTTTTCTTTATCGTCCAAACCAGCTTTGGTTGTGGTACTCGCGGAGTTGAGTTTTTTCTTGTTTTCGCCGCTTTTTCTCTGCTTGTTTCTGGGCATTGTGTCGGTTAAAGATTAGCTAAAACCTTCCAACCCCGCAGAGCAACTGGACTCCACCGTTGCTAGGCGACGCTGCCTTCAGGGACCCCTGGTAAAATTGGCTTCTTCCTGGATTTAGTTAGACTCAACCGACTATTTTATTGAAATACTTCTTTTAATATACATATATCCTTTCCAAAAACATTTATGAGGCTATTTATTGCAAAAGCGTTTATTTTAAACTATGTACTTGTCTTTTCAACTCAATCGCACTGTAGTTTTTCGTGACCATGTTGTGTTCAGGAAACGCCGTTCATTTCCAAATAAATATCCCAACTTGTGTCTGAAGATAAAATTCTCCGTTTTCCTCTTTGAATATTTTGTCCAGATGATTCTGACTGTTGTGTGTTTTTCTCATTTCACTCTATCCTCCCTTCGTCTCTCCCAACATGTTTTATAGTATTTCGTTCTGTGGACTAAGATTTTGTCAATTCTGAGAAATAAAAAAGCATTTATATAAATGGATCCGACTCTGGATTTTATGACTGATAAATCTTCAACTACATCTCCTCCTTGGGTTTAATTGTCATCCTCTGCTAATACTTGCATGTGAAGTGTATATCTGTGTTAGAACAAGGTAATTACTGCCAGTAAATTAACTGTTCACTGTATTTTAAATGGACACATCAGAAAATAATATTAAAACAACAGTTTGTGTACAAACAAAACGTTTCACTTCAACATAAATGGTAAGTGTGATTCTGTCTAATTTAATTTTAGTTAGAACATGTTTTCATTTTACACGCAGACAAATCAAAGGTGACCCTGAATATTTTCTTCATAAGCCTGTTATAGGCTTCCTCAACTTTACATAAGTAATATTGTAAGTCATTTAAATATGACAAAATAAAAACAAGAATGCAAGTGGAAATAAGAGTAAAGAATATATTCCATTCAGTGAATTTACTCAGTTTCCACTCATGTAAATAGCACAGTCAAACTACTCTTCAAAGTTATTTTCTCCAAAAAAGTTATTTGAGTAAATGTAACTAACACCCTCTGCTGTTTGTACATAACTAGTGTTTTTCAACTAGTACTAGAGTTGTTTGTAAGCCATTCTCTTAAAAATGACAAGTTTCAACTTGTGTTGAAACTATGAGAGCCAGTTTGTGCAATGAGTGAAAATGAAGAACATCTTCAGATTATTCCAGTTGTGTTATTATTATCATCCTGGTTATTTGATAGCTCCTCTCCCAGTTTGTTGATGGGAGGGGCTGTGATCTGAAATCCCAGCCCCAGTATAAAACCAACCCACTGAACTCCTGCAGCATCCAAACACTGTCCCGCTGACCATCCCTCCCAGCCGAGCCGCCGGAGCCAACATGCCCGCCGTCATGAGCAGAATCCGGCCCATCAAGCCAGAGGAGTCCAGACCGCAGTCTCCCTCCAAAGCCCGCAAGTCGCCCAGGATGCCCAAATGTTCCCGGTGCAGAAACCATGGCTACTATTCTGCGCTGAAAGGACACAAACGCTTCTGCAACTGGAGGGATTGCCAATGTGCCAAATGCAACCTCATCGCCCAAAGACAGCGCGTCATGGCGGCGCAGGTAACCGTTACTTCTCCCGGCAGCAGGCCGGGGCGCTCCAGGCCCGGAACGCTCCAGGCCCTCCATTTTCACTCTTTAAATGTGGTCCTGTTGATTCAGAATCACCTAATTATCACTTTTATTGTGTTTTTAAATAAAATAAAACGCGAACATTTCAGAAGAAACGCCTGTTTTTACGGACATGAGTTAGCTTGATTTTAAGCAGGAAGCTAGCGGCTAACGGCCGTCGAAACGAGAAAGTAACAAAGCAAACCAGCTACTTTGTATTTGTTTTTAATGAATTTAGCAGGAAACTTTCTAACACGTTTAAGTAACAATGACTACTCATTTTTTGTTTGCTTGTATGTTTTGGTATTTAATTGGTGTTTTAGAGACAGTGTGAATGTGGGGTGTTCAAGGTGTGGCCTGCGGACCATTTGCGACCCGTTGACTGATTTTGTGGTCAGAAATTATTTTTAAATAAAATAATTTTAACATCTTAGAATGTTAAGATGATTAAAAAATTAATATTTTAATTTATTTATTTTTTTTGTAAACGGGACCATAATTATACACTGACTGTGCTTTTAAATCTCTGTTTAACTCGCTGCTAAATACAGCAAATACTTTTAAAAAAGAGAGACCCAAATGCAGTCTTACTGCTGAGACCAAAAAACAAAAACCAGTCAAGTCACACAAATAGCAAACTATAGGCGTTTTTTAAATTGGAACAAACCTACAAAATATATCCCTTGTCCTCAAACAGGACTATTTTTTTTACTAAAATATTCTTTGAAGAGTTTATACTTTTTATGCTTTTTCGTTTTGATGATTTTGGCTTATGTGGGGAAAAAAGTTCAGATGCCACGGTTGTATGGAAACAGATTATTTAATTTGAAAGATCTAAATATTTAAAGTAACAGCAATGTATTGTGAAAAGCATAACAATTTAAAACATTACATTACAAGATCAAAGAAACTAAAGTTTATAATCAAATGATCAAGTGTATCAAAGTGTTTTAAGTGTATCAAAATGATCTGTGCATTCATTATTATGATTATTACAAAGCAACATGTTGCAAACAGTCCATTCATCATTAATGATTATCAGACATTTCTAATTATTTGACTTAAAACCAAAAACTACTTTTAAAGACAAACGATCAGTTAATTTATTAGCAAAGATTCAGTTATATGGATAATTTCCCTTTTTTTATATGGAAATTTACACCAAGAGCTCCATTCAGAAATGCATCACAAACATTTTGCTGGACAATAAATTGTCCCAGAAGTTAATTCGATAAACAATAATGTTGTTTTGAGACTATTTTAAAGTAAAATGATGGCTGAGGCATTCTCAAAAATCTATGAACTTTAAATTCTAATGAAATTTAACACTGGAACTGGAGGAGATTTTTAATATCCAAAATTAATAAACAAAACAACAAAAACAGTGAATAAAATGAGCTGCGGGTCTCTGCAAAAAAAATTGCCCTTCTAAATAAAAGTTGGTTGAGAGTGAAGACTTTTATCATCCAGTTTTTGGTAGAAAGACAAAAGCAATGCAAATTGAAATGATTGAGTTTATTTTAATTAATTCTGGTATTGATTGAATTATTGCTTATTGGAACACGTCTAACTATAAGGCTTACTTCGTATCATTGCAAATCTTTCCTATAGTGGTTTTTAAATCAAAAACAGTCTGGGACACCTGCAACATTTAATTTCCCATTTGAATAAATTCTAATTTTTTTTATTGAATTTCTAAAATTTCCTCTCAGTCTCTAGTCCTTGTTTTCAATGGGGGAAATAATCCTTTTTATTTCCTGACTTACCTAAGGTGAGCATTTAAAATAAGTGTTAGGAAAACTGATGTTACATGTGTTCTGAAATATAATTATGAATGAAGGTAACATTTCTAACCAGATGGTTTGTAATCAATCTTTCCCCGGTCAGGTTGCTCTGAGGAGGCAGCAGGCCCAGGAGGAGGAGTTGGGCATCAGTGCCCCCGTCAATCTGTCCGGCCCGGATGTGATGGTGAAAAACGAAGCTGCTGCCGACTGCCTCTTCTCTGTGGAAGGCAGATCCAGTCCATCACCCAACTTCAGCCACTCATCCCTCGCTGTGTCAGGTGAGCATCTGTGGTATAATTGACCTTTTCTGGTTTGCTTATAATGAAGAAACAAACGATGCTTAATCTGGAAGAAGTAAAGCCTGGTGGCCCGCCAGGCTTATAATACACTGGAGGAAACCTTGTTGTTACATTTGTGGAGGTAGGTCAGAAAAGGCTTGCTTTCTGCTGTCTTTTAATGGTTGTTATGGAGACCTGATGACCCTTATAATGTCACTTCCTAACAGTAAACTTCACTTTTTGTGGTGGCAAAATAAACTGAGCTCCTTTTCCAGCCTGTATCTGATGGTGTCCTGTCATATTTCAACCCCAGGGAAACAAACTATCCAGAAGTTCCTAGAGGTTTTGATCCCATTAAAAATAAAAATATATGCTGCCTTTAAATGTATTTTTAAAGGACTCATTAGGGGTGTCAATATCTGTGGCAGCACTGATTGTGTTCAACAATATATTTCTAAAATGAAGGTTTCATTCTGGCATCATTTTGTCTTCCAGTTCAACTTTATATGTTGGAAAAGAAACATTGCAGGTAATGTGTTGAATTAAAAAAGAGGGATATTTATGCTTTTAAGATATAAAAACTGGTGGGTTAAATGTGTAGACCCAGTAATATGAGTTTCACGCTCGTTTTAATGGCATTACTGCCCCAAAATGAAATGATGAGCATTCCCTTTCCTGAAACTGTTCTGCAGCACCATTTATGGTTGAATTGAATTAATAATAGAATTTTAAATATTATCTCAGAGGGGGAGAAAAATCACAGATTAGGTATAAACACCACGCAATCTTTTTATTGTTTCAAAATCCTCTGGGAAAAAAAAAAAAGAAAAAAACGGAAAGTTGCTGACTCAGCTTGTTATTAGAACAATAATAGCTGTGCCACTCGCTTGTTCTCTATCGGCCATTTGACCAACTCTGTGCAGAATCCACAGGTGACAAAAACTACTGGACACTGAATGCGGGGAAGCAGAAGGAAAAGCTTTTTAATAATAACAACCAGTTCTTCTGAGTTTAGTTAATACAACTTAAAAGTGAATTACTTCATATTCATAGTTCCCCATTTTGACATTCTCATCACTGTATGGACTTTCACCATGATGCTGAGCTTTTTAAGGATCTTTAATTGTTATTAATTTTGTCAGACGGGTCTTATTGAGGAGATTTCTGGATTGAGAACAGGAGTGGCCAAAATCAGGCCTGGTTGTGATAAAACACATTTGATTTCAAACCTTTTCCTAGTAGAAAAAGTTAAATGTTTGTGCCAGGTCTGGTCAACAAATTGATTGCCAGATATGTGAACAATATCAATAGATAATATGGATGAAAGAATATTTAATGTTAAATATGTAGAATATTCTGAACTGCACAGCAGTGCTAACTGCTAAGAACATTTTGAAAATGGAGCTTTACATTTACAGATCTTCAGATCTTTTTATGGGAATGCATCTACCAGCTTATTATTGTATAATAATAATAAGCTAAAAATATTCAACCTCTGGAATATTTAATAAGCTCAGCAAACAGACTGCAGCCACTGGTTCTCCTTCAGTTGCATCATGCAAACCACTGGTTTTTTTAGGAGAGCTTTTTGGTTGATTTAACACTTCTAAACATTTGCTAGCTAATTAGAGACCAAATAATTTGACCTCAGGAAATATTCGACCATTTAAAAGAACTTCAGATGTGCACTTTAGAAATAAAAAAACAGCAGCAGCAGGAAGTCAAAACTGTGGATAGAACAGCAAAAGTCATGCCAGCATGGCAAGATTTCAGATATTAAAAACAATAAAAATAATCAATAATTGCTGACATCGACTGATATGAAACGTTAATATCATGATGCGTTTTTCAGCCATATTGTCAAGACCAAATATGTGCATAAATCACCACACTGATTGTCATTGCGTTGCAAACATATTTAAATGTCTGTGCTTCTTTCAGGTTTGGTTTTATAAAGCTGCTATCATTTGTGCGTTTCCCTGCTTTAGTCTTTAAAAAGAAAACAAGTCAACATTTTTGGGAGAAAATGTGTCAAAATTAGTACCAAGTTGGTGTTTGTCTTTGATAAAATCCTTGCAAGCTAAATAGTGTTATTTCAGCTATAATTACACGCATGTCTGTCACAAAGCCTCTAATCTCTGAGGCACCTGCTGACTCAGTTCTGCTTTCGCTTCCAGCTTGCAGGAGTAAACAGTTTTTCCATTGTCGACTTTATCCTAGTAGGAGGCTCGTTAGCAGAGAATGGATGATATGGACCTGTCATGTGATGAAGGTCAAGGCTGCTTACACTCTGTTTCTCCATGCTTTGCTGTGTGAAAAAAAGTCAACTTTGTCCTCAGAACAGTGAGAGCGGGCTGTGCTGGAAAAAGGAGTGAAGCACTCATTGATACGGTGATGACAAGATTGACTTCGAAGCGGGGACAAAAAACTTAATATCTGAGGATTCAGGGATGCACAGTGTCTTCATTGTGCAAAACCAAGAGATCGTGGTCTGCCTGAGAGGAATGTGGCCTTGCTGATAAGGAAAGCACAACAGATAGCCAGTAATTATATTGAACTTTTCATCCTGGAAGAATTAGCCGTCACACAGGTCCATGTTGATCTGAATGTCACTGAAACGTTGAGCCATTTTAGTCATTCAGTGATGCAGTTCATTTCTCCTTCGGACGATTACAGTTTATTAATTAATGAACATCATTTCTGGCTTCCTCATACAAATTAAAGGAAAGTTGAGTGGAAAAAAAAAGTTTAGTCGAAAGAGATGCTGAGGTTACAGGATTCGGTGATCCATTCCTTGTGTTAAGCCCAAAGTGCAAAAACAAACACAGTTTAGTCACCTACATTACTCACAGTGATAAAAATGTGCCGTGACTCTTTGGAAAAAGATTATTTTGATGTTTGAAACAAAAAGAAATCTATTTTTTCACAAATAGATCTGCCAGACAGCTTCCTTTCTGAAGTGGTAGAAACACTGAACTTCTGTTAAGATTATGTTCTTTATTTTATGTTTTTTTCATATATCTTTTGTTTTTATTTACTAAATTATCCACTATTAACACTAATCTGTTGAAAATCCTTATTCTCTTGTTTTATTTGAGCTACAGCTAAATTAGTTTCACAAAACATTTTTATTTAACCTTTCAGCATGTCCAAACTTTAACCCTGTAAGATCCCGGTAATATTATATCTATTTCAAACAAAAACATGAACAAATATTGGCTTTTCTTCAGTTAAAGATTAAAGCCCATTGTTCACTCTTAGAAAGCTACTGAGTTAGAAATATTCATGTCATTTCCTGAGCAAGATGTCTAGAACATGTGCATATATGTGTTTTTTGTGCAAAATGTAAACTCATTTTATATAATATTACTATTTTATAAAACATTATGAAAACAAAAGCAAATCTGAAAACATATTTTTATCTCTAAAGACTTCATTGAAAACCAGCTACCTTGGTGGATTTATTTTGTTTTGTTGTGTTTTTTAAATGCACGTTCTCCAGTAATTCTCCTGTAAAATATATTTTTATAGGTCTTGCGTATTATTGTGACGCTGATAAATTTTCACTATATGTAATAAATCTGTCTTTCTAGCTAAGTTCCTCCACTAATTAAACTTTCAGACGATATTCTCATTGCGACAGGTCTACATATTTTAAAGTAAATCTGTTACCAGCACCAGCAGATGGCGCTGTTTGATCTTTGTTTGAAAAAGACGCTCAGGAAAACTTCTACTACAGCAAACATTTCATCCAGGTGGAGCTGAAATTATTAACTGAAGCTGGAAAATAATTATGTCAAAGAATATAAAAAGTAAATCTTTTCTTTAATTTGCATGATAGAAATACAAATTAAAAGCCACGGACTATACTTTATTTGAGACAATCTTAGTCTTACTCTTTGATTTTTTTTTCAGGAAGTCGCTCTTCATCGTCCTCCAGTCCCTCCTCTTCCTCTGTTAGGCCTCACGCTGAGGGAGCCTCTGACCTCCTGCTGGAAACCTCCTATTACAACTTCTACCAGCAGTCACGTTACCCCCCCTACTACACCAATCTGTACAACTACCCACAGTACCAGGTAACACACAACATGAGAAACATGTCGTGCTTCAAGTGAAATGATCTGCCAATGCAACTAGAACTTTTTCATCAAAATTAAGGAATTATTCATTTAAAATGAGCTCAGAGTCTCTGAAGTTTCATTGCAGTCTATTAAAAAAGAAAATGTTTGGAACAGAACTTTGTATGCTGTTTTTCTTAAGTTAAAGCCGACTTCATTTGTCTTTGAAAACTTGCTTTAAAAATTATCAACATCCAGACATTTAAGTAAAACAACTTTAAATTACAGCAGATAGAAGAAGAACAACAAGGAAGAAAATATAGTTCAGTCCAACAGAAGAAACCATTTGGAGAAGTCGTAGATATTCAGATGAGGCTTAAAGCTGTTCATGAAGTCACCTGTACAACAGTTTGGGCCTTTATGGTCAGCAGACCCGACCCGATCGCTCCCACCAGTTCTGTCTCGTCCGCTTTGATCAAACTCCAGTTCATCTGTTTAGAAAGTCCGATTCGCTTGCGGAGTTGTGAATGCATCATCGAATTCTGATGCGGATTATAAAAGTTCTGGTTCACTTGTGAACACCAAGTGGACAAGATCCAAAATCAGGAAGAGGACAACAACGCAGGGCATTCTGGGTAAACACAACCAAACCCAATATGCTAGTTTAGCCCTAGCAGCAGAACACCAAAGAGAAATCCTCCAACCGCTAAAATCTACTCCATTTTTGTTTACATTTTGTGGAAAAGGAAGTTGCGCTCAGTTTCTTCTTCAGTGGTTTTTGTGTTGTTTCCTTTAGTGGTTCTTGGTGCGGCGCGAGAAAGGGAACAGGTTTTTCAAAAGGTTTGGACTCTCTAACACACTGCAGTGTGAAACAGAACCACAGCAACTGAAAATGTTACAAATGTTGCAATTTTGTCCCAAATTGAACTGAGTCTACAGGAGTATGAGGTGTGAAAACACCCTAAAACGCGATATGAAGGGGCTCATGGGAAAAGCCTGGCAGCCAATCATGAAAGAACAGAAGAGTGAAAGGTCAAAGCAGACTGAGGTTGTTTCTGTGGTTCCCGTTCTGAGTTTTTACTAGTTTATCATTAAAGCTCACAGTGACTCAGCTTTGGGTGGAGAAATGTTTACAAGGCTGGAGTTTAGTTTGTTATAATCAGTTCATTTAAATAAATCAATCGATGAATCCCTGATTTTCTTTCTGTTCAGTTGGACCAAATGTTATTTGATTCTAATAGTGGGCAGTACGTCCTCAACATTACATTACTAGAGGATTATTATCTGCTTAAACAAGATTTATAACGACAGAAAAAAATTTAATTTATAATATTTGGAGTTATTGGTTACTTTGCTGTCATTATCTGTCAAATCAAACAACATTGTGGTAATGTAACAGAAATAAAACATTACACAGAGTAACATAAATGTGCCACTGTTTTCCTGTTTGTCCTAGAAAGTACAATTGGCATTAATATCCCCTTTATGCCTCTGAAGGTACTCGTCATGGTTAGCACCATGAAATGTTTTAACTTTTTTACATTTTTATTTTTGATTTTCTCGGCAAACCAAGTGTTTGCAGCTACATTTGAAATATTCAACGCTGCTAATCGCCTGTGCCCGACAATAAAGGTTGTTCAATTTTAATTTACTCAGAACATACTTCCATAATTTAAAACATTACACCTTTAAAAGGGTAGGTACTGAGGAAAAGGTTAGTACAAATAGTGATGGTTTCAAAATGCAGTTAAAATCAGTTGTTAGTTTCATCTGGCAGCTCGCGTTTGGTCCCTCCTCCAGCTGTGTGTGCATGCTCTGATTTATACTGGAATGTATCTCTGTTGTGTCCAAAGAAAATGAGATTATGCATGAAGCAGATTATAACTATAACTCTCCCCTGATCCTTGACAATGCGGTTTGGTTTTTTTATGAAGATCATTTTCCCACCTCTCTCTGCCTCCCTCCGGTTTCCCCCAGTAGCAACATCTAGTTTTGGGGTCACTGCCTCTGCCACCCTGCAGAGGCTAAATTGCAAAGGTTAATGGTATTGTCTGTCGGCAGAAGAACAAACCGCCATGCTTCAGCGCTTGAGGAAGAAAGTGAGCACATTAATGCTAATCAGTTAGCGCTCTTTAGCATAATTTAGCCATCCTCCTTTGTGATTTATGATTTTTTTTGGCAGGCTGTCGGGTTGAAGGGGTTACGTGATGCACTTCTCTAAATTTACTGGCCACTCTTTTTGTAATTCCAGAGTTTATTATTTGTGGATTCTATTAATGCCACAAACACTCAGTGGGAAGGAGAAAGATTACTTTTTTTTTTTTACTTTTATTGTTTTTTGCTTAAAAATAGTCTATTTATTTGACCATATTTCAGTTTTATTAAACTTCAAGTGTCATCCTTGAGATGCCTAGTTAAGAATTTATCTTTTATATTTTTAGGAAAATTACTTCCTAAAACATAGTTTCATATCTTCTCTTACTAGTCAAAGATTAGGTCAGTTTCTGTTGTCATTTTTATTCTTTTATTATCTAATGAAAGTGAACATTTCATCTGTTCAGGATGTGCATCCTGAACACACCTGTTTATTTTGTGTTACTGTTATTTTCTTACTTCATACATTGTAAAGATAATTCATAACACCTGAACTTTTGTAAATGTATTTAAGCTATATCTGGTGAAATTAATGACTTTTTAAAGACAAACACAAAGTTGCACATTGTAAAGTGAAAAAAAGTATTAATGTAGCAAACTCTGCATTTATGTTCATGCCCTTTGACCCCTACAGGAGAATGTATTTACAGTTATATATAAATTGTTTTTGTTTGTCAAATAATATAGAATATAGCATATGCACCTACATAAATTTAGGTATGATACATATTAGCTACATTAGCCATAATGTGCCTCATGAAGTAACCTAATTTTGGAGTTTGAAGTGTGCAGATTATACATTTGTTGCTATTTCTAATCAACTGCAACATACAATTGTAGAGACATGACCGTCCCCCGGATTCTTCTAGAGTTCCTGTAAAGCACATCATTCCCATCACAAGTGTTGGTAGCACACTTTTCTTGTGACTGGTCTAAATTGAATTATAATTTTACGTTACTATTTTTTTCTTTCACAAAATATTGACTCTTGGAAGTTGAACATAAAACTTCTTTACGTTTTTCAGTGTTTTATTTCTCACCATTTTATAAAACCAGGTATCATTTACTCTCTGCTTCACAATTTTGCCCTACTTTGTGTTGGGCTGTGAAATAAGATCCATGTAAGTAATCTTTAGTAAGTGAACTTGAGGTCCCAGCTAATCCCTTTCCAACGTGCAGCCGCAGAGGAAACATTGTGGTTGTTATCAGCGTAAGGCCATCTCCCTCCTCTGCTCTGCTCTGCTCTGCTCTGCTCTGCTCTCGGTGCTTGGCTGCCATGCAGGTGGATGGTGATAAAATAAGGGTGGCAAAGAGCTTCCAGACAGAAGATGGTGCCAGATAAGAAGACAGGCACTGTCAGGGCGGTAAGAAGCCCCCCGAGACTCAACAAGTCAGCTTATAAGCACTGCTGAAGATGTGTGGAAACTTTCATTATTAGGAAGCTGCAGTGCACTTTTCTTTCTGTTATAGATTATTAGTTAAATGCAAAAATACAAAACAGTAAATCTTCTTGTACTTATACACAGTATGTAAAAATTACTCTCAACTCGAAACTGTTGATGTGCTAAGGCCCATTCACACCAACCGTTTAGTTCACTTTAAGCGGACTTTTGAATCCAATATGAAACTGATGTGGACCAAAAGAAGTGAATTCTGGTCTGTCTAGAAACCTCAGGCTCGGTTCGGTTAATGTGAACTCTGGTTCAGTTTGAATAGGTTGCTCAAAGGCTTTGGTTCGTTTGATCAGTGCAGTGAGAAAAGAAAACCTCTTCTGTGCACAATTTGCACAGAAGCATAAAGATGGCAAGCTTAAGGACCAATTTATACAGTTTATATGTTTTTAAAAAAAGATTTATAATCGTAGTTGCATTTTTTAATTTAACCTTTATTTTTCCAGGATAAAAAAATCATTGAGATTAAAAACCTTTTTTTCAAGGAAGTCCTGGCCAAGAGGCAGCAAAAAATACATTAGCATCGATTTAACGCACTTTACATGCGACACTGAATATTTCATTTAGGCCAAATCCACACACTGGATCTGGATGTTTACCATCCATGTTAACCAGAAACAAAACCTTTTGTGAGCAACTTTTGCTTTAGTCCTGTGCTATATGTGTGCTGGGAGCCATACGCTTAGTGCACTTTGAAGACTCCATTCCAATCTCTGTTGTATTTTTCACAGCCCAATACAAGAGCAGAGTGTAGCTTAAATAACAGTTTATAAAGCTGTCGCAGAGCTGATGGTGTGGACAATACGGGTGACATATTACAGGCTGACAGAAATCAAATTCCATAAAAATGAAATTGAAAACCCTCAGTGAGGCGGCCTTGCTGCTGAGTAGACAGCTCGTCTGAAAGTTTTCAGGGGTCTGGAGAAAGCCGCCAGCGTTGCAGCTCGTTCCTGCAGCTCGTTCCTGCAGCTAATGATCGTTTCCTGTTTGCTTCCTAATGCGTTATGAGAGTCTGCAGCTGAATCTGGTCATGTAGTGATGGCAACAATTATCACAGATGTATATGAACACAGTGTGAGATTCTTGAATGTGAATTGTTTTAGAAATCTGGGTAATTTATGTTTAAACTACAGCTGCTTTTGAAGAAAGGAATGGGCCTGTGCAGGCTTTTGCTACAGCGTTTACATTAAAACATTTGTGCACTGATTTTGTTTGCTCTCTCTGTATTTTTGTAACATTTTTGTTGCAGTTAATCTGCGCCTTTGCACGAGCGACAAACTGACAGAGAACAAACTGTTCTCTGTTACAATTGGAATGAGAAAGAATTGATTATCGTTTTATCAAAAATACAAACTCCTAAAAAGTTACGACAAGCTGATTTTCTTTATTAGTATTTTTTCTTGTTTACTGAACATATAAAGGCATCCAGACGTCTAAAATTTAAGAGAGAAATGACTGCACTTTGTTTAAAAAGGTTTATTTGCACTTCTAAGAGTTGTATAAATATTTTCCATAAACAACAGAAGAAGCCCTGCTTGTGTACACGCACCTTTAGTGATTGAATGCTTGAAGGTATATGTCGCCATTAGCTTGCTAAGGCACAAATGTGCAGACATCTTTTTTGATATTCTCATGTTGAAAAGACACAAGTTCGCAACTGTGTTTTATCTGTTTAATAAGAAATGCAATTGAAATTGTAGGTTTAACATGAATATGTTTAGTTTGTACCTAAAAGGTGGGACAATTCAACCAAAAGTTTCAATGATGAAGGACTAAAATGACCACAATTTACTGCAACAGCCTGATTGACATGCTTTGGTAGAAACTAGTTTCCTTTAAAAATCTTTAGTTTTACACTTTATTTATTGTGAAAATAGCTAACTTTGAGTTGTTTTCCTGCGGTAGCAACATCGACACTGAAGAGTGTGACTTGCTAGAGCTTATATAAGCTGTATTCAGCAACTGGAAACAGATTTTGAGTCACAGATCAGGCCAGATCAAATGTTTGGCCAGTTTTACAGTGGACATCTAATCACTGTGTATTCTACATATAAATGTGACATTGTTGTTGTTTTTTGTTTAAAGCAGATGCCCCATGGGGACAGCCGCCTCCCGAGCCACGGCGTGTCCTCCCAGTACCGGATGCACTCTTATTACCCTGGAGCCACCTACCTGACCCAGGGCCTGGGCTCCACCACCTGTGTGCCGCCCTTCGTCAGCCTGGACGAGAACAACAGCTGCTCTGAGACCATGGCAGGCTGTGAGCAACACAGAAACACTCCAGCACACACACTTATAAGGCCCCATAAACTTTTACCCAGACTTTATCAACAGAACATCCAAGGGAGGACTGCATTCAAGTCGACAGTGTCATAAAATTTCATTTTCACTTGCACTAAACTTTACTGCAAATCCAGTACTTTTCATGTATGCCGGATCTCACCGATGAATTTTAAGGCTTGGCTTTACGGCTTTAATCAGCTAAATGCTTTTCTGATGTTTAAAATACAACAGAATATGTATTAAAATATGATTCAGGTGAATTATTGGGGATTAGGAAGGGGAATAAGATGTAAACTGTGCAGACCTGTTCAAGAAGTCCTAAACAGTGCAGCTTTGTTTCTTTTCACCGTGTTTACAGATGAAGCAGATTGGATCTCTGATTTGTGCAGCAGTAGATGTCTTTCCAGAACTCAGATGAGAATCTTAGCGCAGCGTTGCTGGTTGCCTGGAGTTTATGCCTTCCTTATTACCAGGGAATGTGGGTGAATCAGATTATATGCGTTGCTTATCATCTTCAGTAAAGTGTTTTTTGGAAATATCTAAAGAATGCAGATAAGTACGTAATAAGAGTGTGATTACTGATGCAAAAACTGAAATTACAGGGACCAATTTGTCCAGGATGGAAAATCTGTTTCTGGACATGTCAATTATTTTTCTTCTGCAAATCTTCTTGCTCTTTACATTTTAAGATGGTTTCAAAAGTGTTGTTTTGAAATAATCCTTTTTGGCGACTTGCTTTAATAACTTATAAGTACATTCTAACTACTTGATTATCATTTTTGAGTTCTCTACCCACCTGGTTGTTGTACTGAGATTAATATCAGGGATATTTGACTTACTGTCAAACTAGCAACATTAACTTAGCTGATGTAGCTTTAATGTGTTAGCTAAGACAGACATGTGTAACAGTAGTTTGATACAACATATGCTAACTCAGCCGGTCACCAGAACCTTGTTATTCACACCAAGAGTTTGTACATCCTTTGCAAAATGCTGATTGTATGTGTCCATGGATTTCAGGCCGTAAAGCTCCACTAAGTACTGCAATAGATTGTAGCATGAGATGAGAGGCAGCTTCTCCACTTCGTCTGACTTATTTTCCTTCTCCGTCTCATTCTGGAAATATCTGCTGATGGGTCAGTCCCATCAGCAGAAAGTCATGTATCTTTCTCTTGCACGTTGGTTAAGAGTGTCCACATGTGTCCGCTGTGCCTACTAAAATGGCGCGGACTCCAGTTCAGACTCATGGGACTTGTTATTCAGACCAAAGAGCACTGAATAGTTTAACCCAATTATTTGATTGTTTCAGGCTTATTTTAGTTATTCTCTTAGCTTCTGATCATAAGATCTTGTATTGAATTTGCACACGTCTATCGTCATCTTTCTGCCGACTCCATCTGCCCGGCTCTCTGACCAAGCTGCCACACAGAGATCCGACGGGGAGCGGCAAAAGCAAATGAGGCGGAATAGCAGTGCTGGATGTCATCCAGGACATTTTGGAATATCGTTTCTGCTGCCCGCATGTTGAGCTGTTAGCATGTCATAACAGTCATGAGTATCAGTCTTCAGTCAGAGGCCTTTTCATATTTTTTGTAAGACTGACTGCTACTGGAGGTTCTTATTGCTCACAGCATCATCATCAATAATAACCTTTTTAAGATTCTTGTCTGATATGTGTTGCCTTAACTACTTTAATATCTGTTTTACTCATGCTGACATGTTGTATATTTGTCTTAACTTCATATTTCCAGCATGGAGGATATTCTCACACACTTTCAATCTAAACTGATGCAAAAAAAAAAAGTCTGTTGTCCGGGTCCAGTTTGTTAAAGAAACTATTTCTGATTTATTTTTATGCTGGGAATCCAGTTTTTTTCTGTACCTGTGTTTTTCTCTTAGTAATATTCTAAGACGCAGAGAAAGAGCGTCAGAATCGCAGCATCAGCCGTGGTTTTCCTGAAAGGGAGCGATGACACCACCAGCATCGTAAAGCTCAGGACCCGACATCTGGCCTTGTAGAAGCTGTTTGTTTACCACCTTCAGCTGTCCCTCTGCTGTGAGGGTCCCACGTCAGCCCCTCCCTGAGCCGCCATGCTCCATTACAAGAAAACAACTATCTCAGCCGGTGGTCCCACTTTTAGTGTCAATTCACCATTTTTTCAAAAAAAGAAAAAAGGCAGTTTTTATTCCCATAGCCTATGAGAGGTTTGCAGGTTGAAAGCTGGATCTTAAATTCAGATTTTTACAAAGCAGGCAGTTTTTTAGCAGATCTGACCATCATCTTTTATCCTGCAGGACTAAAGCTAACACAAAGAGCATCCTCTTAGCTTAACTAGCAGTGTGCAGGATTCTGAAATGCGCGTCCAGCACACGGATCCCTGGGATCTGTTTCACCTTCACATCAGGTCTAATTATATTCATCTTTTTTATTTTCTCTCACAATAAAACAGTAAAAACAAAAGCAACACTTAGAAGTTTGTACATCCTTTGTCAGAGCTCCATGCACAATAATCTGTCAGAGCTCCATGCACAAAAAAAGAGATGCTATTTTAGCCTTGAATAGCTTTGCTGATAGTAAAACTCCTTTTAGCACAACTTGAACACAACAATAATCTTTTCCAGCATCCATCAGATCATTTTTAGAGCCATGAATTAAAACCGAGTGGGTTGAGAGAAGCGTGTCTGTTGGCTATATCTGTTGTTTGTGGGTATAACTTGTGTGTCAGCAACTGTGTTTCAGTTGACCTTAAAATTGCACAACTTGGAATTACGACAATATGGAAACACTGCAATTTTCCCAATGAGGTGGGGGGTTTTTTCCCAGCCATATCAAAATAGATGTATTTAGCAAAACTGTAGTGGTAACAGTTTTTTTACATCACGAGTCTCGTGATCAACAACAGGATGTTACTCCTGGCAGAAACAACAAAGAAGACGACAGGAAGTGGCTTGTTTGGTCTCAGCATCACACAGTTCATAAGAAGTTGTGCATCATTCAAACGTGTTGAATTCACAACTCTTCAGTAAAATGGCCGACTGTTTCCAGAAAAAGGCCGTTGACGTAGCCGCTCCCAAGTAGGTGCAGCTTGTCGTTCCGACGCCTCAATAAGACGCCAACCTCTGCCCTGATTGGCTGAATTATGGATAAATCTGAAACTGTTCACATCAGTCCCCGCCATTAATTTTAGTGACTTAATAACGTGAGTTTAATTTAATTTCTTATTTAATAGAAACATCGCATCTGCAGAATTGTATTTTTTGACATTAGTAGAATAGTGACAAATATTTGCGAACATTTGTAGTGGAGAAGCAGGTGTTGTTACAGAAAGCAGCGTGCGGCTGGACGTCGAGGTGAAGCAAAGCGATGTTTTGGTTGGGATCAGACGGAGGAAACGGTTCCTGTGATCTTCCTTCCCTCCCTTCCCACACGGCTGCCAAACGGCGCCTGGCAGATTTATCTCCCTCCCAGGATAAGGCTAATCATTTGGCCAAATACAGAGATCCAAATAACCTTCAAGTGTGCCACGCTGTCCTTTCCCCTCCCCTCCTCACCTCTTTCTCCTCCTCCTCGCTCTTCGTCCCCCCCTCTCGCTGTCTCCGCAAAATTGCCTTCTGGAGTTAGTGAGCGGGAACAGTTAAGATTTACAAACAATGATGAAGCTTGTCATGCGTCTTTCTCCATCCGTCACGGCGGTGCGGGCGGAGCCGTGGGCAGAGCCATCCCGGTGTTCTTCATAAAAGCCAGCTCGCTGTGAAATACGCCCCCGGCCGGCCTGTTTACTGCCCCGCGCTCGTCAGCAGCCGCGCCGCTGTAAATCGCCGGCCGGGAGGTGACAGTGCAGTCCATCAAACTCCCCTCCCCTCTCAACATCTCATCTCACATCGCCTCCACTCCCACCCACCCAGTACAAATATACACAGAGACATCCACAGTGTTTCTCCACAAACAGCCGCCTCACGATGAGCTGCCCAGCCAGAGTTATGGTTGCCTGAGACTCATAGGTGACATCTTTCTGTCCTTGTCCCGACCAACAGAATTTAGAAGTTGGTTGTCTCTCAGCACAGCAACTTTTCCTTTACTTTTCTAAAAGCGGATGCAGCCCACAGTCAGACGTGATGATGGAGCGCCGCTCGGCCGGCTATATGTTTGTCTGTGTTGTTATATTGGTGTCAGCACAGCGCCTACTGTAATTTAAATGCAAATCAGATTGTTGAGGTATTGCAGATTTTCATCCTGCTAATCGATAGACCTGTGTGAGCCCATTAAGTTAGAAATCCATTACTATCTTTCTAGATGATATTCTATTGATTTTTCTCACTTCAATCTATATCCTACTGTACACCTCCGTGAGTTACTGCGTATAAAGTCTCTCGTTTCAGGTTGTCAGCCTCCCTCTGAAGAATAAGCAAAGAAAAAACAACAAAACAGCCAAGAAGCTGCAGCCGCTGCGTTTCTTTGTTTCGTGTGTAAAATTGCTTTTAGCTGCTTTCAGGTCAGATTACTTCCCGTCACAAACCTTCGCCTCACACTCATTTTTGAGATGCCACAAAGGCCGCTCACTCTTTAGGATTTATTAAACCTAAACGAATCAGAAATCGGTTCCGCGCCGCAAAGAGGTGACCTTTTCAAAGTAAGCACTGTTTCATATCATGTATCCAGAGTTCGACACCAACTTTAACACATTTACTCCGTTGATTCATTACCAGAGCTGAAACTAACAGGACAATGCAAAAACACAAAGCCTTAGCACGTACTTTTGCTCTAATTTATCGAGTAAACATCTGCGTAAGCTTGAAATAACACAAAACTAACTTACGAATAACTTTTCTGAAAGATATTGGAGCTTATGTTAAGTATATAAATTCTTAATTTTCATGGAAAAGCACTAGTTCCTCCAGCAGATTATTTTAGATATAAAAAGGGAAAAATGTCATAAGTAAAATTATCTGCCAGTGGAACTAAAACTTTCTCATCAA